AAATAGAGAGTAGAAAAACACTTGCTTCACCCCCCCCCATCCTATACCCAGACATAATAATTAGCCAACTATGTAAATAAACTTATATTAAAACCTGAGACAGGCTGTCATTTGCTCAGGTTTCTGTACAGGATCATTAAGATTGGCTTCTGATCCCCTGAATTTTGAAAATACTTCTTCTCTTTCCAGAAATGCTATTAGGAAAAATTGTTTCTTCCTCCTCTCTTTCGCCTTGGGCAGGGTCCTGATAAAGCTCACCTTTTTACCTGTCTGCAGTTTGTTGAGAGAAGGTCTCCAAGGTCCTCATTCACTCATGTATTCTACCAGTCTGGGTAGATGGCAGATTGCACGTGTTGCTCTTTGTATGAGCTGGTAAGCGGTGCTACAGAGGACCAGTGAACAGAAGAGGGGACACGAGGCATTTCCAGAACTGTAGTACTAAAACAGTGACAAATTTTTCCATGAAGCTAGGAACTTAAAACAGACAAGGTATGTCAGTATTGACCTGCTGTGCACATGTCTGGCCTGGCCATCCCATCTCTTGTGTGTGTGTGTGTGTGTATCTATGATTCTGTACTCAATAAATGGATGTTGAAGACATAAATAATTATCTTCTTCCACTTGAAAAGTAGTTCTATCAGGGCAGGAATTGTGTGTGTGTGTGTTTTAACTTATGTATCCCCCAAACTGGGAATGAGGCCTGACACATGGTAGGCCCTCAGTTAATACCTGTTTCATGAAGAAACAGTTGTTGTAGCTCCTGTGTTCATTTAACATTCAAAAAGTTTCCTCCAAATAAGTACTTTGTGGTAGGCACTAAACTAGATGCTGGAAACTCAGTCAGTCTTTTCTGACCTTTCAGGCAAGGGCAGGAGAGGAAATTTACCAAACTAAGGTAAATTATGTGTAAGTAATCAATTGAGGGGTCTTTGGGATGCTATCTTGGAGAACATAGCAGGTTGCCTCAGCCAGACCTGTCTGTGGAGGGGAGCAATGGGGGGGGGGGGCGCTGGAAGGAAAGGACTGGGATGGAATGGAAAATTCAGTTCCAGTGGATGAGAGAGGAGGTCTATCCATTGGAATGAGAGAAAGCAAGAAGCTGGAAGAAATTGAGGATGCCCTGTGTGGAGTGAAAACCAGGAGAGATGGGAGGTGAGGCTGGAAGAGTAAGCAGAGGCCAACTTGTACAGCGTCATAAGGGGTTTGGATAACATGAGAGAGGGCACTGTGGGTATCCAGGGGCCAAGATGGGTACATTTCTGTCTTAGAGAGGTCACTCTGGTAGCCAAAAGGAGGGTGGATCTAATGGGGAGAACCCAGGCAGGAAGGCAGGTGGAGGAGGGTGTGGTGGAGATGTGGCTGAGAGCCGACAGGCTGTGGGCTGGAAGAATTGGAGGGACTCATGAGAGCTTTGGAAGTAAGGACTGATGGGGGCTTGAGGTGGGTGAGAGGCAGCAGAGCCCCCTGGTGACTCCAAGGTTTCTGGGTTGGTCAACTGGGTAGATGATTTGAAATAGCTCAGATACAATGTGGGAAGAAAATTATCAAGGGGTCCATATGTATGTCTTGGGAGATGGAGAGGTTCATGACCTCATTAAAATCATTTCTCAATTTACTTTGAAGGCACGTGAGTGAGAAGCAGGAGGAAATGTGATTGAAAAAAATTATGTTGACACAAATGTACATCAACAGTAGATACCTGCAGATAAAGGGAGTGGATTGGTGTCCCAGTTGAGTGAATGGGTTGTCCATTTTGTTGAATTCAAGGACTTTTATCCAACTTTGCATATGGTGCTGGAGGAATAATCCAAGTTATTTTCTTGGGTGGTTCTTGACAGTATGATTATTACTCCTCTTCTGTTGGCTGACAATGGAATGGATGAAAAGGAGTTGGACTGATCATATTTTTCAGGTGCACTAAAATTCTCCTTGCTTAATGGATCTTTAGATTTCATTACCTGGCATTCTCAAAAGGGATTTATTTCCTTTCATTCTAGTAGTTTTGAAAATGTAATATGAAGCACGATATTCATATCATATAAGGAATAAGGAATGTCACCCTTAGAATTCATCCATCCATCCACCACGATACCCAGCCACCGGTCAAGTGGTTTTCACCTGTGGTTGATGGTTCTGATGCAGTTAGTCTCCCATGGGGCTTGGGGGCTGATATTTTATTAAACTCCCAAGTGATTCTAATGTGCAATGAGACACTGAGACTCAACTTTCCATGAGGGCAGGGACCACGTGTCTCTTTCATTTGTGATGTATTTCCAGTGCCTTGGGCAGTGTCTGGCACAGAAATGGTGCTCAATAAATGTTGATCCTTTTAATGTGTATTCTTTTAATTATACACTCATCAAATATTTATTAAGCATTGCTAGGTTTGCTCTAATAGGTAATGAGGATTGTTTTGTGGTGTCTTCCACAGATAACCATCGGGTACCGTGTCTCAGGAAATTTAATTACTACTGAACCATGTACTGGAACAAGGCTGGAATGTGTCCTGCTTTATCCTCTCAAGCATTTTTTCCCCCGTCAAGTACTTTTTTCTATCTATTGCCACCTGAGGCCTTTGGACTCTCCATGACTGGGGACTGGATCTTGACCTGGCAGGAAGGAGAGAAAGTGTGCTCTAGTTGGGAAGATGTCGGTAATTGTGCAACTCCCCCACATCTCCTCCCGGTGCTACTTTGGGTCCTCCATCATTTAGCACTACAGCGTGGGGCACGGGTCTGAGTTTCTGATCTGGAGCTGGCAGACCTATGTCTCTGCCTTGCCCCCTCTCGCCCTCCAGCCTCTGCAGTGACTTGCCCCTGCCTTGTCTATTCCTGACTCCTGCTTCCTCCCAGGTCTCTGTTGCTGTGAGCCCAGGACACTGAAGGCCCACCCTTCCCACGGTATGGACATGGCTGCTACAGTTCTCTTGACCCACCAGATCATCTAGCTGATGCAGCAGGAGTTGATTCCACTTGACTCCAATTTAACTGTCCCGAGCCCCTTCCTTATATTGCCAAGAGACTTCCTAACAGATATGTAACCCGGTGATTCAGGCAATTATTCACGTATTCCCCCACATCATTAGTTTTATGGAACACTGCCAGGGGGCATATTTTTCTTTCCTAGGACTCTTGAGAATAAAGAAAATAGGACTCTTACCATGAAGTCATATTAAGGAGTTTATTCCTCAGAAAATACCCCATAGCACTTTTCTAAAACCTTATATAGATTGACTGCATTTAGGAAAGGAATTATTTTTATCTCACCTGCTGCTATGGGAATCACTGTCCGGGCCTCCTTCCTTCCAGGGCATGGCTCTTAAAAAATTCTATAGTATCTGCTGACCACAAAGGGGTGCCTGTGGTTACTACAGGGACCACACGGCTCATGTTGGATCATGTTGGGTTTAGCCAGGAGGACTATAATTAAGTCATCCAAACCAGGATGGATTTTGGGGGGAAAGGTGCTATTATTAATTATATTTGGATAATAGGTGTAATTTAGGACCGACCAGGCCCACTGGGACACATTGTTACCCTAGACTTAGTGCTCTAATTCTACCACTAAACTGAAATTTCCCTGAATGGATATGGCAGATGGAGTGAAATCAGAGAGAATCCAGCTGAATTGGGCAAAATATCTGCATTGTAATCCAAAGTAGTGATTTTCTCAACTGAACTGAAGGATATCAGTTCCTATTAAATAATGCTGCATAACAAACCACTTCAAAACTCAGCGACTTAAAGCAACCATTGTTTATCCTGGCTCATCTATCTGCAAGGCGGTTGACCCAGCTGGACTTGAATGCAAACTACAAGTGAGGTCCTGCTCTGCTTTTATTAATACTTAATACTTAATACTCCCTCTCCATGGACCAGTGGTCCAAATGGGACCTGCTCTTCCTCGGCAAAGGCAGAAGCAGAGCAGACACAGGATGCGTCCTAACCCCAAAGCTTGGGTCTGGTATGCTGTCCCTTCAGCCGCATTCCTTTGGTTAAAGAAAATGCTCTGGAGAAGTCCAATCTCAGTGTGGCAGGGAAATAGACTCAGTCTTGGGTGAGAAGTAAGCCCAAGAGGCAAATGTAGAGGTCGTAGATGGAGGAAGGCAAAGAATTGGGGACAAGAGTGCAACTTACCACAGGGGACATTAGACAAAAAGGGCTTTGCTTGTCCCCTCTTCAGTCCTCTAGAGCACTGGCTGGGTTTATTCAGCCCTGTGTAGCTAAGATGTTGACGGAAAGCAATCACAGGATGTTGGGTCTGATAGAGGCAGGGAGCTGCCCTCAGCGGCTCTCCACATAGAGGGTGCAGAGCAGTGGGCTCACTTTGATGCAGACTATGACTGTCCAAAAGAGGAGCAAAACGATGAGGAAGAGACTTAGAGAAACCTTCATATTCAGAATAGCAACCTGGCCCTGGTATGTAGGTGTCATGGATGGAAAACTGTTTTCATGTATCAATCAGATCAATCATTTATCTTCCCATAGGATCGGGGAGTCAGGAGATGCAGAGAAGAATTGCAGATGCTCAGTCCAATACTTCTCCTTTCTGAGGAGGGGAAACAGAAACCTTTACCTGTAGTGTTAAAAGCAAAAGTGTCCCCAAGTCACAGGTTTTTCAAAGGATGCGCACAGACCCACAGAGCACCATTGGTGGGTATTTCCAGTGCCGCTGGCGAGGTCTGATCTGCCAGTTCTTGTGTTCCTTCCATAGTTCCCTGTGGACAAGTGCTGCTGTGGGCTTGGTGGCCCCTGTAATTCAGAGTCTTTTCTTGCAACGCTCCCTTCCCCTGACAGTGGGTCAGGTCCTGAGCCTTTGCCTACCTGCTGTCAGAGCCCTGTGTGGCTTCCTCCCAGGTAGGAGAGTGGGTAGTGAGGGCTGGTTAATCAGAGACACCAATTATGCTGATTATGCCTCATTCCACAATGGGTCACCCTTCTCAGAGAATCTCCTATTTAATATTTAAACAACTTGGTTGGGAGTTCAGGATCAGAGTGAGGCAGGCTAAAGAGAAGCATTTGGGAAAGGGAGTTTCAGAGCCAAGCTCATCTTACCCCACAGACAACCGGGGGTTCTTTCAGTGTCCCAGGATGGCTGAGACTTGGAGCATGGCGCTGATCGCAAGGAATGCTCAAAGTCTGCAGAGGAATAGGAGGATTGGCTCACGGTCACCAGGCCCAGTAGATTCGTACCATCTGCTGTAGTTTGGGACTGGAATGTCCTCCAAAGGTCCATGTGTTGAAGGCTCTGTCTCCAGTGTGGCACTGTTGGGAGGTGGTGGAAGCTTTAAGGGATCAGCCCCAGAAGATGGTCTTTAGGTCCCTGGAGGTGAGTTTTTCTTCTTTCTCTTTTTTGCTTCCTGGTCTTGAAGTAAACAGTTCTGTGTCACTTTACAGGCCCAAAGCAATGGCCAGTTGGATCATGGGCTGAAATCTCCAAAGCTGTGACAATAAACCTTTTTTTCAATAAGTTAATTGTTTCAGATATTTGTTACAGTGGCAGAAATCTGACTAATACACCATCCCTGTCCATTTCTGTCCTCTCCTGCTGCCATTCTTCTAGTTTAGGCCTCATATTCTCTAACTTGGGCTCTTGCAAGGTCCTAGCTGGCCTGCCTGACTCCTTTTTCTAATCTACATAGAGAGCAACTTGAGTTGTCTTTTCTATTTTTCATTACTTATATAATTAGAAAAAGAGTTTAAAAAGTACAAAGTATACAGATATTATAGCTAACTCACATATCAATGAAAACTAACTTTCTACCATATTTTATCCATCATTTATCCTTTATTGAAACAGAATACATAAGAAAATGTAGCATAATTGTACTGGTGTTAATTTTCTGAAAATGGACATAGCCACATAACCAGCATTACAAAACGAAACAGAACCATCCCAGGCTCCTCTTCTACCCTCTTCTTGTATCCTCCACACTGCCCCCATCAAGGTAACCACTGTCCTCAATCTAACAGTCTAGGTAGGTTTGCCTATTTGTGAACGTCATGTAAATACAGTTGTTCAGTGTGTGCTCTTTCAGTGTGGTATTTATTTTGAACTTTCTTTTCTTTTCTTTTCTTTTTTTTTTGAGAAAGATATTTTAAAAGATAAAGACTCCTGTGTTCTAATTCTTTGAATTCTTTTTCCTTTGACAAGCACATCATAAATGTGATAATGTATGCAGCCCATGTCCTTACAGGCTTGCGTATGTGGATAGCTTTGTTTTGGAGGTGTTACTGTCTGTATTGAAGCGAAGGGTTTTATGATATAAGGAAGTTCTGTCACTTGCTTACTTCACACAATGAGATTTCTAAATCACACAGGGTGATGTGACTCACTTTCCTTTTTGAACACATACCTCCCCTCTTTCTAAACTGTCCATTCCTGGAAGAAAGAGTAATGTTTTATTGCTTCTTTGTATCCTGTGATGCTTTATGAAGATATTTAGGGAATGGATGTGTCAACGAAACCATGAGCAACTTGGTTGGTTCATGGACAACCATATTCCGTATTTCTTCCTCTGTTGGCCCCTTTTTGGAGAATGACATCTTCTTTTTCTTTTCCTTTCTTCTTTATTTTTTGCTTCTTTATGTATGTCTATTAGAAGCTCCAAAGACTTAAGTCCATAGGCAAACCCAGCATAGAAATTTGACTTCATAAAATGTTCCTTCAGAAGAGATAGGCATTGCAGAGCTGGTGTGATATTTGCAGGTTGTGCCTCACCTGTTTTTCTGGAATGGGGGACAATGGTGTTCTATCTAGGGTTTTTCTTACTATAAACAGAATTATAGAAATCTGAGGTGGTTACCACATTTGATTCACACCTTAACATAATTGGCAAAATATCACTCATCTTCCAGGTTAGCCTTCCCTGGGGTTTCTGTTGAATTCTCTTGGTTCTTCTAGGCTTCCTGGATTTGAGACCACAACCAGAGGGAGATGGGTCCCTGTTGACATTCTGAGACACCATCTCAAGACTGTGTCGGGTGAAGGAAAATGGCCCTGTCATGCCTCACTATCGCTGATGACACCAAGACCTGGAACTTCATCCTTCCTTGGGACTTAGATTCTATGGTCCTACCTCTCACCAACACTCACCCAGAGTTGTCTTAGTACTCTAATGCAGGGTAATGGAAAAATTTCCCTTTTAGTTTGTGATGGGAACCTTGGTGTGTCTTCATCTGGATGACGTGGACGAGTCTGGGAGTGCTCTGATCCCCAGCATTCTTAACTGTGCTGTGGACATAATATTACTTTTTCCATGAATTTTTTGGGAGAATGAAACTGTGAGTTATAAAGATGTGAAAATTGTACTCAATCTATTTTTCTACTGTGTACACAGGTAGACAAAAGGCTAGAAAGAAATAGATGTGTTAAAATACATATACTCCCACTGAATTTTTGAGTCTGGCTTTTGTTTATTTATATTTTTAATTTTTATTTTTGTAGTGGGGATTGAACCCAGGGGTGCTCTACCACTGAGCTATGTATCTTTTTTATTTTTTATTTTGAGTTACGGTTGCCTAGGTTGGCCTCAAACTTTGCAATCCTCCTGCCTCAGCCTCCTGAGTCACTGGGCTTATAGGTATGCACCATTGGCTTTCTTTCTAAATAATTTATCGTGTGCATTTCCCTATCTCATTATGAATACTCACTCTCCATTGTTTTTTGAAGTTGCATAAGATTCTACCATCTGGTTGCACCTAACTGCTTCCACATTATGAGCCCTTTATTTATTTTCAATTTTTCACCAAGGAGAGTTCTGAGGTCAGCCAAGCCTATTTTTTTCCCTCTTTTTAACCTTTTGCTTTGCTTTGTTTTGCTTTCAGCCTGAGATATTTATAATTCATTTTTGCCTTGCTGTCAAACAGTGGGTTTCTTTCTTTCTTTGTTTAACCAATTATGCCTGGTGTATCATATACCATTTTGTTTTATGATTTTAGGTTTTTTTTTTCTTTTTTCTAGAATGTTCTATTCTAGACTTGATTGGTGTTTTAGTGTCGTTACATTTTTGGAGACTTTTTATGGGATCACTAAGCTTTTTTCTTTTTACACATTGGATCATTTTTCTCCATCATACATACTATCTGCTCAGTATTTTCAACTCTAGATTCTAAAAGATACATTTCAAATTTATTATTTCTTGGAAACTAAGGTTTTTGCAGTATAAATTCTGCTCTTTATGGCTTCCAATGTAAACTGTAGTTCTTAAGAGTGCATTTATTGTTTGTCTGCCTCCTTTAGTTTTCATCTAGACTTTTTCGCACTTTAGCCAGCGTTGTGCTTTATGTCTTGTCTCATTTTTTCGTCTCCTTCTCCCTCTCCGGAAGCCATTGCTCTTACCAGGGGCACGTGGGACAGATCATTTTCCACCTGAGTTCTAGTAACTCAGTTCCACTTGGTAAGTTCTGTTCTTTACAGGCATTATACTTCATCAAGTGCTTAGAAAAATAAAACAATAAAAACAATGCTTACTTCAGATGTCTTAAAAAATGTTTCCTTGCCATTTATCGATGTATATGCCAAACATACAATATACTTACATTCATTTATTATTTATAAACTTAGCAAAGGGGATATGTTCTGAGAAATGCATCATTAGTGACTTCATCATTGTGCAAACATCATAGGATGCATTTCTACTATGTGATAAATCTTAGGTACCATCATCATGTATGTGGCCTGTCATTGACTGGAGCATCAGTATAAAGTGCATGACAATGTATGCACACACATGACACTTTCTTAAAATTCAAAGGCATGCTTTCTTTGTATCTTTAGGCAAACTACAGTCCATGGATCAAATCTGGGCTGTTCACTCATTTTTTTATAAATAAAGTTTTATTGGAACAGGGATGCCCTCATTCACATACATATTGTCTGTGATTCCTTGCTTCATACTATAGTTTAATTCCAACAGAGACTGTATGACCCACAAATCTAAAATATTATTAGCTGGTCCTTCATGGAACAACTTCACCTACCCTTGTGCTATTCTCTGTTTAATCATTTCTAAATGAAAGAAGAATTTCTAAATCCATTGTTTGATTTGAAGGATTATAGACTGTATGGTCCCCGCAGGTGTTGATCAAGTTGACTTAAGTTAGATCAGGAGCATATCTGTAAGAATACTCATGGGAAAGAGAGAACGCTCTCGTTCTGGGTAATTGATAGAGTGTTTATTAAAGGATTCTCTGCAAAAGTGCAGGAGGAGTGAAGGAACCCCAGAAAGGAGTGGTGCAGTGCCCCAAGTCCAGTAGCCATGAGGGATCTGTACCTTCAGCCTGAGGATCTGGGGGAGGGAGGAAGTGCCCCCAGAACCCAGGGAGAATTGCTGCATGGAGAGTTGCCTGATGAGAGGTGTAGCTTTTAAAAGAGGCCTTCACCTGAATCCTGAGGACTTGCAGGGAGAAAGCTAGAGTATCGAGAACTCCACCTCACTCTGCTGCCCTAGAAGGTTCTGCTGGTGCCCCCGCCCCCAATTTCTGAAGTCAACTAGAATCAGAGGGCAGCATTTCTCTACTGTACCTCATCCAAGTCTACCTTTTGAGGCACAGCTGAGAGTGAGGATGGATGAGTAAGTGAAAGGCAACCAACACTTGGGAGTTTAATTCACAGGCTCTAGATCAGAGCTGTCCAGTAGAACTTTCCACAATGAGAGAATTGCTTTTTAACTATACTATCAAACATGTCAGCCACGAGCTGCATGTGCCTAGTGTTTCCCAGGAATATGACTACGAACTTAGGAACGGAATCTTCAATTTTATCTAATTTTAATTTAAATACCCACATAGAGGTAGTGCCTACCACTTCAGAAGTGTAGCTGAGGATGGATTTTCATTTTTCTTGTTTCCTGCTTCATGGAGTGTAAAACATAGATTCACTTCTGGAAGTCTGAGATAGTATCTCTCTCCTCTCTCTCTCTCTCTCTCGCTCTCTCTCTCTCTCATAGAAATAATATCTGAAACTTAGAACCTCTGAGAAGCATAAATTCCAGGCTTCCTTTTACAACTGTCTGCCTAACGACAACTTCATACCCCACCTTGGATCTCTTCCACTTCCCTTCACCATAAACTTGTATTCAGATGTCTCTAAGCTGAAGTAGAAAACCATTCCTGGGGATTTTAGGGAGGATGGCTTTAGAATGCTCTTGGAGCACACAAGAGGGAATCTGTTGTTTTTTTAATCAGTGAAGATCTGGGGTCTCTGTTTGGGAGCTGGGGTTCAACAGTGCCTGCCATCCTTGACACTTGGCTTCAGTCTGCCACTGAGAATGATTTATTTTTATCCATTCTCTTCCATGCTATGGTTAGTAAAACTTTGGCTCAGAATTTGGGACTCGTTCGATTGTGATTCTCTGCTCCAGAGCATTCGTGTGTGTATTTTGGTGGGGAGCTGGGAGAGGTCACATCAGGACGACTATGAGGATTCTGTTAACCTCAGAGCCTCCTTTTGTCATTTTTTCTTTACCATTGTCACTGTTGCTTCTGAAAACAGGTCATGATTTTGAATGTGCATAATCTCAGGTTTGATGCAGAATTAATTCCTATTGCTTGATTTTCACACTGAGACATTAATTACTATTTGTTTTGCATTTGCATTCACAGGTATCTGTGGAGGGAAATTAGCATACTTTGTTGTTAGACCATTATTGAAATGACAGTTGGGAAAATATTTAAAAAATATTGTCTTTCTTTCTGTTTTCCTCTCTGGCATTGCCATTATTGTTTTTTATCTTCTTGCACAATTTTGAAATTCTGGGTAAGAAATGGAGACCATTTTGGAACATTGGTACCTAGAACAAAATCCAAGGTGTTGGAACTGGGGCTTGGTAATGGCTTTTGCATTTGTGTATAAACAAGCCAAACCGGTCCAGCCATTCAAGGTTGGGAGACTGGGTGACTCAGAGGTGCTACCACATGTGAAATAATTCTTTGTTGCTTCAACCCTTGGAGGGCTACATCTAACACATTTAGCTGGGTGCTTTCTGCAGTCAGGAGCTGCCTGTGGTTGGAATTAGAATAGCAAGCAGAGAGAAATTATGGTCTTTTTATTACTTTATTAGCAAAGAATCCTGAAAGTGGAGTTAGAGAACCAGGACTCATGGCCCCGCCATGCCACAGAGTACCTGAAGAAACTTGAACAAGCCACTTTATCTCTTTATCTTTGGAAATTGTACTTACCCCACTGTGTTGTGGCTCTAATGAGGTGAGGCACCTTGACAACTCTGGAGAACCATATGCCTTTGACAGGTGGTTGCAGCTACAATTTCCAGCTTTGTTATCTTAGTCAGTCTCTCACCACAAGGGTGAGATTCGGCCATGCCTTCGTGCATGTTTTTGCCCATGGACAGGCTACTGATAGCCAGGGTAACTCAGCCTGCATTGGCAGCAGAACCTGGCCAAGAGGCTTCCCTGCTCCTGTGTATTTCCCCCTACAACAAGGAGTTCAGGTAGGGGCAGCAGTCTTAGAAAAAGAGGAACCTTCTTTTTCATCCATATCAGTAAAAGTTAATTAGTTCAGCTAATTTATCAAACATCTACTTTGTCAGTTACCAGGTGTTCTTGTTTCCTATCATTAGAGGACTTACATTCTAAGAACACACTTCATGTGTACATATTCTCCTCAAAGCTGGGAAGATATAAGGGTTGATTAATTGATTGACTCATTCATTCATTCAATAACTGTTAGTTGAAACTTCTGTGTTTCTTCTGTGTTTCAGGCTTTGGTGATTTGAAAGTGAACAGGATAAGATCTCAGTGTTTAGAGTTATCAAACTCTTCATATGCTCTGTAAAGGAATCCTAGGTGGGGTTCATCACACATTCAGAAATCAGGACTCGCTCTTTTCAAAGATTCTGATCAGTCATCTGGATTTTGAACCCAGTCCCAGGATGTTGGAGAACAATCTGAAAACACTGCTCTATGAATTCCAAATGCAGCAGGGGATACAGACATGTGCACACACACATACACACACACAAATGTATATATACCCACCAACAAAGAAGCTCATGAACTCACATGCACACAGTCAAACACACACACACACACACACACACACTCAGACTAAATCAGTATAGGATACCCAGAAAATGTTTCTCAGAAGAAGACATTAGCTGCTCAGGAACAGCAAACTCTCTGGTTATACCTGGCTTCTTGGCCCCCTCCTGCATTCAGTCAAGATTTTCCTGTCCTCAACCAGGAGACTTGGACATAGATTTTCTATTTACAACATGTAGGTTTCCATAAGAAAATAAATTCCACTTTCCATTATAAATATGTACATTTTATATGGAAACACACACCACACACACATATATAAATATACTTATGAATACTTCACCCCCTTATCAGAAAATCCCTCTGCAAGTAGAACCACTTCAACTTGCTGTATAATTTCATACGCTTTTTGCACATCACTATTTGTGTAACCAATATATTATTTTTGGATTAGTTTTAGGAATGATTATTTGTTAGACCTTTGCTCAGGGACAAGTTCTGTACAAAGCACTTTGTATGCATTGTCTCCTTTAATCTTTGCAACAAATTCATGAAGTAAATATTATTGTTTTCCCATTTTACAATGGATGCAACTGAGGCTTAGATAGTGAATATCTTGCCCCAAATTTCACATTAAGTACAGTCATTCCTAATTTTCACTTTTTAAAATGACACCAAAATCCTATGGGCTATGTACTTACTTCCTTATAATGGATTCCTAAAAGGGGATTGCTCGTGGGATTCTGGCCCCCATCCTGGAGAGTTCCTATTGCCAATGTTCCTTCTTTCTCAGTTGCTCTTGTTGCCACAAGACTCACAATTTCCATAGAGGCCCACATAGAAGTCCATAGAGGACCTTGAATAAGCCCCTAAGCACTAAATCTATAAAGCCTAATGTATAAAACTACCCTGCTCTCTCATGAGCCATCAAGAAAGGGATCTGCAATTGGCTTGTTTGCGACCCAAGTGCCTGCTTTTCTGAGGTAGTCTTCCTGCTGTAGATACAGGGGAGCGAGTCTGGACTCAAGGGACCCCCCCCCACACACACACCTACACCTTCTCAGTCATCAATGTCTCTTGATGTGTCTCTGGGAAGAAACATATAAAGGCCAATAAGATCAGGTTGGGGTGATTCTGTGACAAGGTGTCAGCATTTATGGTGGTACCTGGATGGTGACAAGCACCTGGAAAAATGTTCACCATGACCCCTGGGTGGTGACTGACAAACAGCATCAATCACCAGAAGAGTGGGGCTCAAACCTGAAGGGAATGTTAAAGGAAACTGTAAGAAAGACCCCCAGGCGTCCTGCCTCTTCAGGCCCCTGGGACACTGTCAGAGGGGAGACCTTCATAAGTAGAGGCAGTGAAAAGTGGGTTCGCCCTTGTTCGCCCTTGTGGAGTAATGCAAATTGCTCTCCCTCACTCCTGATGTCTTGCACAACAGTTTGAGGACATTTGCAGCCTCTAAAGTCGCTAACTTTTGGAGCTGTACTCCTACATTACCTGAAACCGTTTTCAAGGCATTAGTAAGCATGCATGATGTAACTGCCATCTGCATTATTTTGCAGACACTTTAATGAACACATGCGTTTCTCTTGTATCTTTTTTTCTAAAGGTCTGTTGCAGCCACATTTTTAGAAGTCCTAATATTTTTGGAGGACCTTGAATAAGCCCCTAAGCAATAAATCTATAACACCTAATGTGTAAAACAACCCTGCTCTCTCATGAGCCATCAAGAAAGGGATCTGCAATTGGCTTGTTTGTGACCCAAATGCCAGTATTCTCTACTCAGCCCTCTGATGCACCTTGCCAGTCCCACTCAGTGCTTCAATAGCAAACAGATTCCATCAGCATATGGGTTGAATTAGAT